TTGAGGATCACGAGTACACAGTACAGACAGAAAGTAATCACCACGTAGCCAAAACAATAAAAAACAAACAAAACAAAACACCAAGACATAAGAAATTTCTTAACAACAGTATGAGTGACTTCTTGACACCAGGCAGAAAGAAGAGAATCTTTCACAGGGGAAACAAAAGGACTGAAGATCACAATGGTACTGGACTTTTCAGTTAAAACACTGGAAGCTAAAAGACAATGAAAACAAAGTCTTCAAGTTTCAAAGTGAAAATGACTTTCAAGTTGGAATTCTAGGCTTCATTGAGTTTTCAAAACAAAGGGAACAAGTAAAATAAAGACATTTTTTGAGAAATACAAGGTTTTAGAAATTTATCTCCTATTCACTTTTTGATGGCTCCAACGAAGTGAAGGCATATATCCAAAATGCTAGCATCAACAGATCCAGGAAACAGGAGGTAAAACATAAGAGAGAATCTAAGGGGAGTCCTAGGATGAGAGATAAGTAGACGGGCAGGCTTAGAAAGTGACCCGTCAACATTGAAACAAAAGTCCACAGGGTTCCAAGACAGTTCTCTAGAAGAAGAAGAGAAAACTATGAGATTCTCTAGTAAGTATGGCCCTGTAAAAACATTACTGAGAAGCCAATCAAGACCTGGATGAACAATTATTACAAAGAAAATCGAAAGGAAAGAAATTATCATTTCCATGAAAACAAACTTTGGCAAAAATTAAATATAACCATAGTCCCTACCTGGCTCAGCCATAAACAGTATTCAAGTAAGAGTAATACTGTAAAGCTTGATTGCTGATTTCATCCAAAAACTGTGATGATGGAAAAGACATTCTTGTGTACCATAAGCATTCAAGTCTAATATCAAGTGACTGATAAATCAAAAGACAGCCTTATAATTTAAAAATATAGATATGGAACATATAAATAACACCAAAAACTATTGAATGACTATATCTAGGGAACAGAATAAACGAGGAAGGATTAGCAAAGGATAATCACTATTTTGATAGATGCCTTTTGATTTTACTTTACTTTTAACTTTTTAAGTTTATTTATTTTGAGAGAGAGAGCACATGCCAGAGGGGTGACGCATAGAAAGAGAGGAGAAAAAGAATTCCAAGCATGCTCTGTGTTGTCAGTGCAAGCCCAGTGCTGGGGTAGATGCAGGCTCAATCTCACAAACTGCAAGATCACAACCTGAGCTGAAATCAAGAATCAGTTGCTTATTAACCAACTGAGCCACCCAGGCACCTCTTATCTGACTTTTAGATTACATGTATGGTAAAATTAAGTAATTATGGAAACATCAGATTCTTCTAAATAATCCAGCTATGAGAAGTTACGGAAAATTTAGGCTTAGTGAAGTAATCAGACTTCTTAAAAAATTATTAAAATCAATAAATTTCGTCATATTGAGTATGATCACTTACATAGTATTTTCAAAGTATTCTTCATAATTTAAACTTTTATTTCTCTACTGATTTTATTAAAAACATTTTCTAGAAGTTCTTACTCTTTTACTAAATATAACCACCATCAAGTTCTACCTCATCCATTATACCTAGAGCCTGAAAAGTATAAATAAACCTCAACCAATTCCAAAAGTGTTACCTACACCAGAGGTTCTAATATTATGCTCAGATAAGTGGCATAGACATCACTTGGTATAGTCTTAGAAATGTACATTCTCAGGCCCCAACCAGACCCTTCTGCATCAAAATTGGGTTTGGAGACAAGGCAATTTGTGTTTCAACAGCCCTCCAGATGATTCTGATACATGGTAAAATTTGACTCAAAAGACTAATGGCTCCCAAACCACTCTCAATAAAACTTTTTAACAGTATATCTCAATTAGTCAAAGTGCGGACAGAGAGAGATCAGAGAGGTACCTAGGATGCAAAATTTAAGGACGCATTCACTCTCCAGATCCTACAAATACCGAGCAACCCTGAGTGACTGACTCCTTAAATTCTGCACCCTTGTTCTACATCTGCAATTAGTAGCTAAATGACTTCAAATAATGTAATGACTTTACTTTCCTTGCCCCTTTTACAGAAACCAACTGAAACACCTAAAAAGATACACATGAGGAAAGCAGAAACATGTATGAGTAACTCTCAAGCTACACAAACACTGAATAATTAGTACCTGGCTATATGATATACAGTTTCTTACTCCAAGTAATATAGTATGCAATGAAGACTGTTAAACACTAAAAATATGAGCTATGGCAACCTCAGAAGCACTGTGGGGACAGTATCTGATGTGTACTATTTCTCCAACGTGAAATCTTAATAAATTTTTTAATAATAAAGATCTGAAATACCTAAAATGCAAGGACTGGAATATCTGTTATTTTCAAACTGTGATCTATGGAGCCTAGGGTTCAGGGAAGAAATCTCAGGGGTCCTTGTATAAGTTTTTCCAATCCTCACCCCAGCTTCAACCAAAGTGGCTCCAAAGATTTAAACCTAATTTTTTTTTTTTTTTTTTTAACAGAACAGTCCACTTAGAGGCAGGGTTTCACTGGTGGAAGAAAATTTTAACCTTATAATGCTATGAATTCAACATTAGGACCTGTAATCTTATTCTAAAAATCTATAAGTGATACAGCAGAAATTGCTTTTTACAGCTGTGAAAGCAGGAAAGCTTACTAACACAAGAGTATACTCTACACTAGAGATGTGAGAGTGCGTGAGCTCGAAGGAGATGTGCCATAGCAGAAATACTATAAACCATCCTGAGTAGAGATCATATTGTCTATTCTGAAAAATATGAGACTACTTCTTCTGTGATATGAAAAACTGACAGATCATGAAGAAAGGAGTAGTGGCTCCCAGTCTTTTGTAAACTTTGGAAACATTTCTGTAAATACAATTTTAGAAAAAAAAAAGTCCACAAAATAAAAATAAATAGGGCTAATCTGATTAAAAGGTAAGGATGAAGTAGCTCTTCTCTGAATTAGTCTTCCTGTGCCTACTACTTAGAATACAACCCATTTCCCTCCAAGCCTCCTCCCACCACACACAGAGACACACACACATACACACACAGAGTAGCCCTTGAAGAACTTCTAGAGAAATACCATGAAAAGGTAAAGATAAAACCAAAATAACAAATCACTTTATCTAAATTAAAGGGATATCCATTTTTAAATATTTACCATGTAAAAATTTACCACAATAAAGTTCATATTCAGGTTTTTGTATATAAAATAAAAAGAAAAAATTACGTCAATTAAAATTTTCAAATTATACAACATATTAATTCTAAACACATGAAATACTGAAGTACTTAGAAATCAGTTGCTTTTTTTAAGGAATCATGATTTCCAATTGTTGAGAAAAGCAGAAAACAATCTGTTAGTCTCCAAACACTCCACTTCTACTTAAAAGAACAAAATGACTGACGAGTCTATTGTTACCGACAAACTTCCTCCCTCCTATTTGGGAGATCAACAGATAGCTTGTTCACAGTGTTTGGCATGACTTACCATAGAATTTCATCTTGAAAAATCTTACACAACAATAAAACATTCTAGGACAGGAAAGGCCTAGCTGATCTATCAGCAGGGCCAATAAAATTCCATAAAATATTTCACCAAGCATTTATATGTACAAACACAACTAATTTCCGTTACTAAATTATATTTTCAAAACATACACTGAATTGCGATCACATTTCACATAGAATGTTCTCAAAAACATTGAGAGGATCTCTTCTGACCACAAATTAATGTGTCAGAGAGAAAGTTCATTTCATGACTCAAAACTAGAAAAATAAATGTTTAAATAATACAATATTTTATGTAATTTACTTCAACCTAAACTTCAATTTATTTTACTTAAATTCTACTATATTTTACTTAAGTTATACTAAAATGCACTGTTGAAGTTTGTAACCAGTCAGAAGTGACGTTTTTTATTCTCTGCATATCCATGAAGACTGAAAAAATAATACAAAATTAACCCAAGAAATTCTACCAGAAGCAATTTAAGGGCCTTAAAAGGTATTAACAAAAATATTCTCTAAGAGCTGGGCTGGGTCTTCATTTTATGACTTCAGAGGTAACAGGGCTAGAAACATATCTTTGACCTTTACAATCATCAATGTATCAAACTATTCCTCTCCCACTCTAATTACAAAAATGTAATAATGTAGCTCCTAGAAAGCACATAAGCACACATATATTCCTAAATAAATTTAAGTTCTTAAGTGAAATCTTTATGTACAAGGTAGCACTTTCTTTTTTTCTGAAAAAAATTGCTATTCATATTTGGAAGAAACCTATACTTTGCAAAATTTGCCTGTGCACTGAAGAACTTAAGAATGAGACAGTAAAAAAAAAAAAAAAAGTAGCCAAATATTAAGATGTAAGAATGCTAGATGAGAAGAAACAATGTCACCATTATAGGAAAGAAAACCTTGAACACAATGTTAAAATACCAGTTTCTAAAAAGGTGGAATTCAAATAAGAATAAAGTATTTCAGTAAATATTTCAATATACCATTTTACAGGTCTTTGTCTAGTGGTTATAGCATTTTATTTGTGTGCTCTGGAGTTTTTAAAATAAATAACAAACACTGAATTATTCCAGTTCTTCTTTCAAAGAATAAGAAATTAATTCTAAGTAGATTTCCTTTAGCTTCTAACTTAATTACATAGGCAACAATTTCCAACAGCAGTCTTGATATTTTTAAGTATTCTAATTAATACTGATAAGTGTTTGATAATTTAAGTGATATATCACATAATAAATTTAGAATAAAAATATTTATTTCAAAGACATTATCTAAATTTTTGTACACTTAAGATACTATTTTTTCACTATAGCTGCAAAATAATGCAGGATAATATTTCACTACGAATAAAAAGCAATTTAAAGATAGGATTATGTTTAGAATGTACTTGTGAAGAGAGAGGACAAAATAATTTATAACATATAATAAAACAGAGTTATAAAATGTCAAAAAAATATAAAAGAAATTGCACTTACATCCATAGCTCTCTTAATAAAAGGTATCTGTGTGCCACTGTCCAGATCTTCATTTATAATAAGCCTTCTAGCCCACTGACCTGCCCTGACAACACCACTACCATGAATTAAAACCATCAGTTTCTGTGGATTTGTCAAAGCATCCTCACTCATAAAGATAAAACTCTTTGGTTCACTCTCAGTGGCATCTACCTGTAATTAAAAAAAATTAAATAATAAATAAATGTTTTCTGATCAGACAAAGACATAAATGAGAAAACAACTCATGGTTACCATAAATCACAGAATGGCTATTCCAGAATTATAGAAGTAAAAAGCTATAAAAGAATTAAAATATTCATTATTCATTAGAGATTAACAGTTACACATGAGGTGGATGAGCATAAAAGACACGGTAGTAATATGTAAAAGAATATATGAAGTAAATCTCCCTATATTATAGATTTTGTATTATAATACAACTAAGAATAACTGATTTATTTGAACACTTCCTATGATGTAGATATCATGGTAAATGTTGTAAAAACATTTATTCAATCACAATCTCATTAAGGGAGTACTATTATTATACTCATTTATAGATGGAGAAATTGAGGCCTACAGAGTTTAAATAACTTGCTAGTGAGTCTATAATTCTATAATAGAAGTACATTGTACCTATTATAGAAAACAGAAAAACCCAATCGGAGGATATACCTACTGGAAAATCATATATTAGCCAGGAATACTACTAAGTTTTTAAAAGGAGAGAGAGGGAACTATTTAAAAATTCAATCACCTACTATTCTATGTCAGCGGCCTTTGAAATTTTCCTTCAGAATGTGAACACAGGTACATATAAGAATTATTTTCTGAAGGAGTATTATTTACGTATTCCTATAACCTTATTAATGAGAAATGGAGGCACTTGTGCAGACATCAGAGCCAGAAGCTGAAGTCTGGGTGACTGGTCATATACATCCTCAAGTAAAGAATCCACATACTATATAATGAAACAGCCCTTCACTTCATCAACATTATATAGTCATAAGCTTATGAAACTAAAAAATAGACAAAAACTCTAGACACCAAAAAAATGTCCTGGATTCTAAATGTTTCCAGTCACTATTCCTGGAAAGAGAAAAATATTAAAATTTCTCTAATTCTAAAACAAACAGATTGATAGCCATTTGTGTAAACAGCACAAAGAGCAATTATTTCAGCAAGAAGAGCACAGCCACAGGGCTTAAAAAAAAATTCCCTCCTCAGTGAAGCCTTTCCTGACCACCCCATTTTAAACATCTCCCCAAGAATTCTCCAGCCCCATTCTCTGTTTTATTTTCCTTCATAGTACATAGCACAATCTAATATATTTCATGCTTTACTTTATGTATTTGTTATAGTTGTTTATTAACCATCTCCTCCCACCACCAGAATGCAAATCTAGGAAGGCATGGACTTTTCTGTTTGGATCCAGCTACATCCACAGTGCCTCAAAGAGAGGCTGGCACATTGTAGGCACTCAGTAAATAAAGGAATGAATAAACTTTCGGAATAAGGAATGTTATCAAGCATTCACCAGTGACTTCCTTTAACTAAAAGACATTTAACTAAATAATGAGTCCTCTTAACTTGTTATAACTCTTGCCTAATTCAGAAAGCATATATATGACTATAAAGAATTTTAAAAGAGCTACACAATGCTAAGAATTAAAAAGACATAACTGTGGGGTGCTTGGGTAGCTCAGGTGGTTAAATGTCCAACTTTAGCTCAGGTCATGATCTCACAGTTTGTGGGACTGAGCCTTGCGTCGGGCTCTGTGCTGACAGCTCAGAGCCTGGAGCCTGGTTCGGATTCTGTCTCTAACTCTCTCTGCTCTTCCCCCATTCACACTCTGTCTCTTAAAAATAAACATTAAAAATTTAAAAAAAAAAAAGACGCAACTATATATTAGTAGTAAGTATGCAGCAAGAGAAGTATAAAGTATAAGACAGTCAGATTAGCTTCTCTTGCATGCAATGTCCAGAGTTATGATGGTGACAGCATGTCTGGCTGAAGTGAGAGGAAGGGAAGTAGATGAGAGATGGAGAAAACCAAATATGAAGAGAAAATTCTTCTTTCCTTAAGAATATGCATGGAGGAGGGCACTTGTTGGGATGAGCACTCGGTGTTATATGGAAACCAACTTGACAATAAACTATTTAAGAAAAATTAAAAAAATATATGATATGAATAGAGAGGAATCACTCATTAAAATAGATTTAAAAAATGGAGGTGGTAAGAACATAAGAAAAATTAAAAAGCAAAGCTGTCAGTGTATGATAAAAGAGAGGTCAAAGAGGTTTCCAGTCATTCATTTACCAAAGAGTAGGCCTAAATGTGCACAAATAAAGTACATCTTAAAATCATTGAGGCCTTAAGGGATCCTGGAATGCCTATGGAAATGGACATCTGTTTATCTTAATAGAAAAAAAAACCCAAAAACAAAAACAACAAAACTCTATAGCTATAGACTTTCCAGTAGGTGCTGATCACTATTTCTTTCTCTATTTGACTAAGTCCCCTGTTTCCAAGGAACTGAGTCCATTTTTTAAGCAATGGAATGTTGGCACTTCACATTCCACAGTAATCACTTTAAAACTGGAAGAGTGCTTATTTTCAGAAGATAAAAATGCATTTTTTATATTACAACGCTGTTCAAGAATACTTAAAGGGCTGCAAATTAAAGTAGCCATGAGTAGATGGATAAAAGTTTTACTGGAACATGCAGAAGAATTGACTTTAAAAATATGAAAACATCAGAAAATTCAAGGAAAAAAAACAGTGAAAATGAGAAATGTAGTGGTATAAATGATTAAGGAGTAAGAGCAGTATTTGAGTTGGTCATTGGCTTATATTCATCTCAACTCAACACAGAATTCTAAAGTTGGTATCTATAACTTTCTCTGTATAAAGTTAGTGCTAAGTTTAAACAGTAAAATATCTATATAGTTAAAACATAATTTTCATCATTAGCTTAATTAAGTTTGAAAATGGCTGTTCCAAGACCACTATCTTCAAACAGTGGTCATTCATTAACTGAGCTTTCATTAAGGAATGCATATAAGTCATTCTCGTGCACTACCTCACTTTATTGACCAATCAACTTCAAAGACCAACTGATCAGTGAGAACAATGTTTAGCAGTTAACCATTCACTTTAGGATACTCGTGAACCCCACTAATTGTGATGATCATTTAAACATAATTGAATAAAACGAATGAAAATTTATAATCAAGTTGTTAATTTATATAACCTAAAATCCTACATGTGTGAGATACTACAATTGAGAATAATTTGTACATGAGAATATACGTAGGACAGTGAGTAAAAATAATACATAATCATAATCTTTACCATCAAGAGTTACCACAGGGTGCTGTTATTTATGAAAAGAAAAAAAGGGAAGAAAGAGTCTTTTTTTCCTTATTAAATAGTTCAACTATAAAACTTAGTTCAAAATCAGAGGGGAAAAAAGACTTTGGTGGTGTTCTTATAATTAAAAGAACTCTGATACAAAATGTAACAAAACAAAACAAAACAATGCTTCCAGTGCTGGATTTCGGGTTTAAGAGAACTCAGGAGAAAATAATTTCAGAAGAAAAATTTCACAACTATATAAAATACATGATGATAATTTAAGGAGAGTCATTAACTTCCTAAAACAAACAAAATAAATTTTGGTTTCTTTTCAGTTTATGAAATCAGGAAAACTTTGCTAACCAAAAATGGACATGACACTTACTATAGGTTTCCTATAATGTAAAGCTTTCTCTATGTTTATTAGCTTTATAGTCTAAATTTAAATGAGAGGAAAATAATCAGATCTATGAAACAAAGTCTTCCCAAATGTAATCTCGGGCTTTCTATAAATAAAATTCGTAAAACTTAATCATATAACATAATCTATAGGCCAATTATCTTCTGATTTCTCCTGGAAATCTAAGGGACAGAAGTGAATTTAAAAGTTCCATGTAACTATAAGTATTACAGAATTAAATGACTCAATAATAATTGTGTAGTAAGAATAAATCAACCTAGATCTCTTTAAATATCATTCTTCAGAAAATTTGAACAAATAAAATTAACAAGAAAGACAGACTGAAAAGAAAAGTTTCTAAATAAATGAAGGTTAGCCTAGCTTTTGCATAGAATTATATTTTATTCACTAGTATATCATAACCACTTGGAACAGCGCCCAGCACCTAAAAGACACTTAAATAATTATTTGTTGAATAAATGAAAAAATGATTAGCATTTGATCTTATTTATATAAAACTAAATATATGATAGATTTTCCTTTTAAATACTGAACTATGAATTAATTGTAAGGATAAATAAGAAATCCTCCAGCCCTCCAATTCATAGAATATTATCATCCAAGGGGTTTAAAAATCTCATGCAAAATTTCACATAAAGTAATTATATACATAGTTTTGTGCCTTAAATTAATTACTTTGATTAACCCTTCTAGATTTTTATATATCATAAAATCAGCAGTTGTTAGCAATAGCAAGGATCATCTAATCTAGTACCACCATCATTTCACATATAAGATTACTATTTCTTCAGTTTTTTGCTTACTATTTTAGGTCTTACATTAAAAAAAAATTTTGTGAATTTGATACTGAAAACAAATCTCAAACTTTTTTACTATGAAATGGCAAAATGTACAAAATTTGAAAAGAATGCTCTGCAAAAATATAGGAAGCATGAGGAATGAATTTGGGAATGTATAGAGGAAATAATATGGAAATAAAACATAGAATTATAAAAAATTCAAGAAATATTTATACTGACAGTGAGTTTCTAGTGCAAAAATAAGTACCTTCGTTTATTTCAAATATGTAAAAATAAATTATATAAATTAAATAGAATCAGTCCAAAAAGACTGATTATTAGTATTTTATTTGCCTCTACACTGAAAAGTACTATTTTTGTACTTTTGTGCTTTGAACTATTGTGTACAATGAAATGCAGTATACTGATGCATTTAATATTATCATTATCAATATCAACATACTAGGACCTTAACATTTAAATCTACCACAGTTACACTAATATAACCGTTTTCTTCTGAATTGAAAACTATTTCATTTGGAAGTTTAAGCATTTTTAAAACAGGACTTACTGGAATAGAGATTTTTTTCAAATTACAGTCCTTTTCCAGGAGCTCATATACATACTTCGTGATGATCTAGGTAGGAAAATACACACACACACACACACATTAAGATGTAATGTCATCCATTATCAAAATTCACATGAATTATTATGTTATTGGTCTGAATGAGTTTCTGTCTTTGAACGTTTTCCCTCTAGTTTTATTGAGAAATAATTGACATGTGTCATTGTGTAAGTTTAAGCCATACAGCATGATGACTTGATCTACATATATTGTGAGATGAGTTCAGCTAAACTCCAACTTCTCACGTAGATAAAAAAAAAAGAAAACAAAGAAAAAAATTTTAAAAAGGAAAGTTTCTCCTTGTAATGAGAGCTTTTAGGATTTATTCTCTTAAAAACTCTTCTATGTATCCTACAGCAGTGTTAATCATAATGATCATGTTGAACATTACATCCATAGTACATTATTTGCTTTATAAATGAAATGTTTTGATACTAAATATGGAGACTCTTTACTGATTAACTGTGATGGCTTACTTCTTGCTGCTGTGTGAATAACTATGAGCCTTAATACTAAAATTTAAGGCCAGTTAATAAGAACTCACAAAAATATAAAAGGACTTTCTGCTTTTCAAAGCAATATTCTGAACCTTACTTTCTTTTTCAGTGTTTCTAGAAACTATTTCCCTACAATTTCCATATAGGAATTGTATCTGATTTGGTATTATCTTGACTGAATCCTAAAACCTCTTCTGTATTTACTGAATCAAAGAGGAAAGGGTCAGAGGTTTTCTAAACAAAAAGAGGAAAATTTTTTCAGAAAAGTCAGTCAGAAGTTACCATTATTGTTTGCAGCAAGCAGAAACACAGTTCCCCGAAGATGTCCACATTTTAACTCCTGGAACCTATTCATATTTTATGTTACATGGTAAAAGGAACTTTGCAGATATGATGAAGGTTAAGGACCAGAGATGGGGAGATTATCCTGATTTATCCAAAATGGCCCAATCTAATCCTTTAACTCCTTAAAAGTGGAAGATCATAGAGGAACAAAGGGATGCAAAGTGAAAAGACCTTGAATGGTCATTGCTGGTTTTGAAGATGGAGGAAGGAGACCATAAACCAAGAAATGTGGTTGGCCTCTAAAAGGTGGGATAACCTTTAAACAGCCAGTAAGAAAACAATACCTCAGTCCTATATTTACATGGAACTGAATTCTGCCAACAACTCAAATAAGCAGTGAATGGATTCTCTCCTAGAGCCTCCAAAAAGCAATATAGCCTGTACACACCTTCACTTCAGTCTGTTAACAATCATACTGGACTTCTGACCTACATAAGTAGGAGATGGTATATTTGTGTGGTTTTAAACCACTGAATTTACAGTAATTTGTTACCACAAAACTAGAAAGCTAATGTACTATTTCTTTGGAGAAAAGCAAAGAGACCGAGGAAAGAGATGCCAAGTAAAAGCAAAGACTTAATAGATTTCAATGGTCATTTAAAGGAGTGTTGCTCTCTCAAAAAAATTCTTTAATCATCTATGCACAATATCTCAGAGAATAATTTTAGTAGCAACATAATTAAAAGTCAAATTTTATGAAACAAAATCAGAAGATGATTTTTTTAAAAAAATCAAGAGATGTCAATTGCTTTGGTGCTGTGTTCTGTAATCTAAAATAGATTCTCTATCCTGTTTTCTCGAAGCAGTTCAAAATTCTTTCTTTTATGTATACATATTAATTCATTTCAAAAGAATATAGTAGATACATGCTAGAATATTGTTTCCTAGACTAATAATGATCATTCCCAATGCTACAACACTCACTACATTAGAATGAGGCAATAATTAAGTTACTAATCAAACAGTATTCCCATAACTTAATGTAGTAGTTAAAGTTATTGTTACCAGAAGGTAGCAGTGCTGTAAACCTGAAAAATTAAACTAAAAATAAGTAGGATCAGACAAAAGTATGTATGAAGTTATATAATCCTCTGCCACTTCAAGAAAAATGACTTAACTAAATGAGATTAGCTAAAATGAGTATCTTATAATTTCTGAAAATTTCCTATTACCTATGCAATCATAAAATGTCCTTATGTTTAAAGCAATAATAAAGTCAATCAAACTTCCCTTTCTGTTACCTGACAAGCCTTAGAAGATTACAATTTGGGTATCCTACCTTTATTCTTCCTTGTATCCACACAGGATAGTATCTGGCACATTGAAGGCAGTTCAAAATAGTACACAAATTCTCACTATTCATCCTGTCTACATGTTTTGAGGAAGAAAAGTGTTTCAGATTTTAAAAAAATCTTTTCTAATTGCTGAATCAGGATTCAGAAAGAGAGCATCAAGGATTCATTGCCTTCCAGCTTTCATAGGTTTCTCCATTTAGAAAAAATAATGAATGAAATGATAATTTCAAAAGGGGATGAGAAAAAACTGTCCAAATGTCATCTGTGTTTAAATATTCACTGGAAACATTTCTAGGGAAGTTCATACATGGAAAAGAAAAAGCTTAACAGAATAAGCATGCCCTAAAGTGAAATCTTCATTCTAATAAGAAACATATAAACTTCTATTTTTGGCCAACATATAAAAAGCTTGGAAGCAGTCACTCCCATCCTCACAAAAAGAAAAAAGCTGACCAAACTAACAATTGACAGCTCTTACCAGATCTATCAGAAAACTGAGGTCTTGAAAACTGGAGAAACAGACAGGCAGATACAGAGAATCAGAGCTTAGAGGAAGCAAACACCCAGGTACAGAATTCATAGCTTGAAGCCAGTACTGTGGAAGAACACCTGAAACAGTAATTGATTAACTGCTCAGAATCAGTATGGACTAGCTTAAGAATTAAAAACAATAGGAGGTACAGCCCTAAAGACAGAGGCCCCTAACTTTTGTGAATTTTATTTCTAAGAGCCCTACTGGGTTCTCCCTGTGAAGACCAGAGAAAAATCCCTTCCTGCTTCTGGCAGCGGCAGGGGAAAAGTAACCATTTTCATATATTCTAGACTTTTCTGTTCTCTTTCATCAGGCCTACCCATAAGAGAAACTATTTTACCAGAGCCTAACTGACATGAGGGAAGGGAAATGCCTAACTCAGGCTCCCTAAAAGACTGAGACCTAATGAAGAATAGAATATTTCCACCCACACCTCCCTACATTATCACATCTGTAGGGTTCCTATCAAATAACAGGTAACAGCTATAACTATAGCTAAAGAACTGTAGGGGTCACGCCCTATTTAAGGTCTTTAAGAAAACTCAAAGAAGGGAGATAGAAACTAAACAAAGGAAATTTTAGCCTTGCACACCAGAGCTATAGCAAATAGAAAACACAACGTAACTTGTAGCCATATAAACATAAAATTTCAAACTAACAACCCATCTACCAAAGTTCCTTTCACCCAATACAGCATGTCCAGCTTTCAACAAAAAAGAATCAGTCATAATAAAAGGCAAAAGTAAACAGTCGGAAGAGATAATCGAGCATCAGAACAAGATCCAGATATGTCAGAAAATTTGGAATTACCAGACTTGAAATTTAAAACAACTATGATCAACATGCTGAAGAATTTATTGGAAAAAGTGGGCAATATAAAAGAGTAGGTAGGTACATAAGCAGAGAGATGGAAACTCTAGGAATTAAAAGGAAATGCTAAATCAAGAACACATAACAAAAAGAATCCCTTTGATGTATACATCAGTACATCGGACATGACTGAGGGGGGAAAATAATTTCAAGATATGTCAATAGACACTTCCAAAACTGAAATGTAAACAAACAAACAAGAATGAAAAAGAGGGGACAAATTATCTGAGTGGGACAATTATAACAGATTTAACATACATATAATGGGAAAACCCAAAGGAGAAGAAAAAGGAATAAAAGAACTAAGTAAAGTAAAATAATGGCTGAGAATTTCCCAAAGTTAATGACAGACACAAAACCACATATCCAAATAGTACAGACTTCAAAAAGGATAAATACCAAAAGCTTTATCATATTAAAACTGCACAGAACCAAATACAGAGAGTATTTGGAAAGAAGGCAGACCAGGGACAAGGGGGATTTGGAGAAGGAATTTGGAGGAGATATGGAGGAATTTAGCTACAGAAGAAAAAAGATAAGAATTACATCACACTTCTCTTAGAAACAATGTAAGCAAGAAGACAGTGGACTGATATACTCAGTGTTGAAAGAAAAAAAAACACCGGGGCGCCTGGGTGGCTCAGTCAGTTAAGTGTCCAACTTCGGCTCAGGTCATGATCTCACGGTTCGTGGGTTCAAGCCCCGCATTGGGCTCTGTGCTGGCAGCTAGCTCACAGCCTGCAGCCTGCTTCAGATTCTGTGTCTCCCTCTCTCTCTGACCCTCCCCTGCTCACGCTGTCTCTCTCTCTCAGAAATAAACATTAAAAAGAAAGAAAGAAAGAAAGAAAGAAAGAAAGAAAGAAAGAAAGAAAGAAAGAAACACCAATCTAAAATTCTGTATCCAGTAAAATCATGTTTCAAAAGAAATAGACTTTCTCAGACCCTCCCAAAAAAATTGAAATTTTTTTGTAAGTAGATCTGCTTTATAAAACATATTATAAGAAATCATTCAGAGAAAAAGGAAATTCTATAGGTCAGAACGTACATAAAGAAAGGAATAGTATGAGAGAAAGAACCAATGAAGGTAAAACATACTTTTTTATTTTCTTATTCTTAACTGATTTAAGATTTTTTTGTGCAAAACAAGAGCCACATGTATTTTGTGATTACAGCTTATAGAAAAGTAAAATGAATGATAGCAAGGTTATAAGTTACGAGAGGCAGAAAACTGAGAACACTCTGTCATAAATACTTGCACTACCTGAATACAGTAGCCTGTTACTTGGAAGAAACAGCAGAAAGAAAAAAAATACTACTGATAATTTTCCTGGATTTTTTTTAATTCCTAAGAAGCCATATATACAAAAATAAATAAAACCACAATGGAAAATGATAGAAAAATAATTTTGAAATTATATATTCATGAAATTGATCCCTTGGCTACCAATAGAATAATGCTTTCTAAGGAAT